CTGGCATTATACAAGATCAAAATAAAAATCACTCTATCCTGGCGTTATACAAGATCAAAATAAAAATCACTCTATCCTGGCGTTATACAAGATCAAAATAAAAATCACTCTATCCTGCCATTATACAAGATCAAAATAAAAATCACTCTATCCTGGCATTATACAAGATCAAAATAAAAATCACTCTATCCTGCCATTATACAAGATCAAAATAAAAATCAATTTTGATCTTGTATAATGGCAGGATAGTAAAAATAACTTTATCCTGCCATTATACAAGATCAAAATAAAATAACTTTATCCTGCTATTATACAAGATCAAAATAAAAATCACTCTATCCTGTCATTATAAACTAGATCTAAATAAAAATCACTCTATCCTGGCATTATAAACTAGATCTAAATAAAAATCACTGTATCCTGTCATTATATTCATTTCATAAATCATTTTATTCTGTCGTTATGGCAGATCAAAATAAAATCACTTTATTCTGTCGTTATGGCAGATCAAAATAAAAATCACTTTATTCTGTCGTTATGGCAGATCAAAATAATAATCACTTTATTCTGTCGTTATGGCAGATCAAAATAAAAATCACTTTATTTTGTCGTTATGGCAGATCAAAATAATAATCACTTTATTCTGTCGTTATGGCAGATCAAAATAAAAATCACTTTATTCTGTCGTTATAGGCTAGATCAAAATAAAAATCACTTTATTCTGTCGTTATACTAGATCAAAATAAAAATCACTTTATTCTGTCGTTATACTAGATCAAAATAAAAATCACTGACCTGTCGTTATACTAGATCAAAATATAAATCACTAACCTGTCGTTATACTAGATCAAAATAAAAATCACTATCCTGTCATCCTACTCCAAAATAAAAACCATTTTAACAGTTACTAGTTAAAAAGTTCTATTATTTCTTCATTAATATTAGTTTCATTAACAGTATTGGTTAGGTTATTTAATATATACACATTTCTTTTATTATTTTTCTTTATATATTCTTCATTAGTTTGTGGATTATTTTCTATAATAAAATTAGTATACTGATTTAAGTCTATTCTAAATCTTCTTAGCTGGTCAAACCTCATGATATATCATAGGATTTGTTGATTGTTAAGCACAAAGTTACACAATGGGTATTACAAGCCATCAGAATTACCACTTTGCCAACAGGGGTGATATTATAGGGATAACACCTTAAAATAACACTAACAGCAAGGATATCAAACACATGAATCAATGGATTCTAATCATTTCTAGTAAGAAGTATATTAAACTACCTGTATTCTTCACTTGGTTAATTTCTAGTTCTGATCTATACACGTAGCTTGCTTTGATCAAAATTAATTGCTACATATTTGAGAAACTGTTAGATTATTCATACACCTCAGATTAACTGAAGGATATTGGACAATTATGTTAAAATTAGCATAGTGCTGAATTCAGTTGACTCTTAACAATCATTACAGTATTTTCACTGCTCCTATGGTAGAGAGTAAGTTTTTGAATTTCACTTCCAAAGCATGCAATACATTATTTGTTATTTTAAAAAAATTATTTTGTATAGTATAATGCAGATATTGCAGTCATCCTATTAAAGTTAGATATATATATATATATATATATATAC